AAACTTCAACGGGAGGGTAAGAAATTAACCATTTCTTCCTCCTATTGGTCTGCCCAGATCATAAAACGCTTTTATTTCTGTTTTTAGCTGAAAATAACTTCCTATAATGGTGATCCACTGACGGCGAAGGATCAGGAAAAGATGGTCAAAGTTTCGGTGATGCAGAAACAGAAAGAGAAGGTTGATATGAATGACTTGGAGTTCCCTTTGCCAGCAGACGGAATCCTTCCTCTGAAAATCCAAGTCCTGAATGACACAGAATATCTCACTATTGTAGTAAGTTCAATAGAAATATGTACAAATTTCTAAATTAAGGGTATTTACCATTAATTTGAGCAGGTAAATGAGACAGTTTGCCATTGGAATGAGTATTTATACTCTTAAACAAAAGATAGATAATATGAACTTGAAATAAGTGCTTTTGTGTTTTCTTATTTTAAGCGTAAATTATCTTGCTCCATTTGCAAAATGTCTCTTTTAGCTCATCAATCCTAGAACAAATGCACTTATTTTAAGAAAAAAATTACTTATCTAGATTTGGATTTTTTTCCAGTGTTAACACGTTTATCCTCAGTGCAAAAAACATCTAGAAATAAGTAAAAAATGTGTTAAATTAAGTGTATTTACCCTGAATTTGAGCAGGTAAATAAGATGATCTGCCGATGGAATGAGTATTTTTACTCCTAAAATAAGATAATTAGATAATTTGCACTTGAAATAAGACAAAACAATTGTTTTTTTTTCTTATTTTAAATATAAATTGTCTTGTTCCTTTGGCAAAGTGTCTCACTTACCTCCTCAATTCAAGAAAATAATCACTTAATTTGAGCAAAAATAACTTATTTAGATTTCCATTTTTTTGCAGTGCTCATTTGATGAGGGTAAAACATCATTTTTATGTTTGAGATGTTTTATAAAATAGAATAAGATTAAAGCATCAATTGGAAATCCTAAAATTAAAAATTAAGGATATAAATTATTATAAAACCAGAACGTTTAGAAGTAACATTCACTTTTTAACGCAGCGATACTTCCATCTGCTCTAGGCAGCCAAACCAACAACGACCCCCGTTTCAGAGGCATAGACCAGTATCATGTATTGCAGGCTAACAAAGAACCCAAATGACCCCCCATTCCTAAGGGGCGGAGCGTTCTCTGAAAGGGGGGTCGTTAGAGGGAATTGTTGGCCTGGTTGAAGAGGCGAGGTCTGCAAAAATGATCTAGAAATAAGTAAATATTTCTTAAATTAAGTGTATTTATCCTTATTTTAAGTAGGTAAATGAGGTAGTTTACCAATGGAATGAGTATTTTTACTCTTAAAATAAGATAATTAGTTAAAATGCACTTGAAATAAGACAATGTAATTGTGTTTTCTTATTTTAAATCTTAATTGTCTTGTTCTATTGGCAAAATGTCTCTTTAACCTCCTCAATCCAAGAACAAATGCACTTATTTCAAGAAAAGATTACTTATCTAGATTGCCATTTTTTCCAGTGAAGACCTCGCCTCTTCACCCTGTGCAATTACAATAAACCGGTATAATGATTGTACTATAAAAAAAAAAAAAAAAGAGCTTTCATAGGTGGACGCACTGATATTTTAAATTGAAAAAGTAAATGTGTATACATATATATATATATATATATTTATATATTTCTATCTGGTTGAACTGTGTCTTGAGAGTTGGCACTTGAATTGTTGTGAATTGGCGCTATATGAATAAACTGAATTGAATTGAAATTCTTTAGAAAATGTCGTCTCTCTTAATTTCTCTTTCTTATGTTTTCAGGTTTCTTTAGAGGATTGTTACAAGGATCTTTTCATCGACACAAGCTACACCTCCCCGAGTCATTCCTACCTCCGTATTCATAAACCCAACAGACCTGCAGAGGTAAACATTTTGCTCCACTCCATCAGGGGCCCCTCTGTATGTAAGATCAGGGGAGGAGGATCCTCATCCAACCCTGCAGAGAACAGCTGTTAGAAAGCAACCAGAGTTTAAAACCAGGAGCGGGTAGTTAGGGTTGGTTAGGGTTTCAGGTTATTCAGGAGGGACTCACACAAAAAGCTGAAATGAATCCCAGAAATCAAAATAAACATTTTAAAAAGGTCCTTTAAATGGGCCCTTAGGGACCTCCCAGGGACATATCGGCGAGGACGTCGTCTAAGATAACCACATGTAGCTCTCATAGTCCAAAGTCAGGTGAGATTTCACCATCTGTGCTTTGGAAACAGCTTTTTATTGAGAACTAGGCCAGTGGTAGTATTACATGTCCGAGCTTTGACACCAGAGAACAGTTTATTCTCATCCTTATCGCCAACATCAGCTTTCATCCCATTCAAGTTATTTCTCAACAGAGAATTGTATGGAGTCAGAAAGGGGTCACAATTTCTGTAAACTTTTAAATCTTAGTTAAAATTGTTGATATTGAATGTCAATTTTCTTAAAAACTAAAACTAAAAAAGCAAACATAAAATAATAAAAAATAAAAAGAACTAAGCTGTAAGAAAAGTAAATTTAGTTTTGTAAACACTATACCAGGGGTCACCAACGCACTCAGTGGGTTAAATTACATTTTTTTTTTTTATTCTGTTGCTCTTCTTTTTAATCATTTATGTATTATTTCATCATCTATTCCATCATTTTTCACTGGTTTCAAAATGACAATATTAAAAAGAAAATTAGAAATGAATAAAAG